AAAGAGGAGATTGAGTGGTATTTACATTCGTAGCCGCGGGCGGACGATTCGTACCGAATAATATTCAGTTTTTTATACTTTTTTTATTCCTCTCCTTTCGTCACCGGGGTGAAAAAATCCCGAAGGATTTTTTTATTGAGTTTTTTTTTTGGGAATCTGTACCGAACCTGCCGGAACGAGTAACTGACGAAAATGAATAGTTCACCGGGTAAATCAGTTTTTTTTGTAAGTGTGTGATGTCGATGGAATATGTAGAGAAATAAAATGAAAAATATGTGGATGAGGGGAATATCCTTTTGATGAATAATCCGACGTATTTTGAGAGGGCATTCCAGAAAGTGTACAGGCAAATTTCAAGGCGAAAAGAATTCCGAGGGGTTTAAAATAGGACGGAGTGAAACGAGGGATGGATCGAGAGGTTTTATGCAGATTATTTGGCAAGTATCTTGAATATTTCTCTCTATAGTGGCAACATCGAGAGATGCTTTTTGTAGACCATTAATTTTCTACAAACAACAGCACTCGACAATTTTCTCTCATTCTCCCGATTGGACAGGAATTTGCAAAATAATCTGCAAATTCCCTTTCGACTGAACGAAAACTGAAAAAAATTGTATTGTGTTAAATAACATATCTTTGTAATTTCCGATTTTAGAGAAAGTTTCGAATCAGATAATTAAGGCCCGCGTGTATTATCTTTCGAATGCGATTTGGGTTGGTTTTTTTTATTTTGGTAATCTGAAATGTTCTTTAATTGCCATTCAGTTTTACATAGCCTGCATACTTCAAAAATTATAATTGCACAATCAAAAAAACGTTGAAAAACACTGAACATTTTCAAAGAGTGTTTTTGAATAATACTGGGAAATGAACCCAATAGTGAGGAAATTGCAAATTAATCATTTACGGTATCTAATGTCTGTTGATTCAGCATTTGTCTCAGTTCAAGAGATAATCTGTCCGGGCCTTAAATTGAATTTTTGTTGAATTTTTCTGAAACTTTCAGTTGTAAAAATATTTGAAAAATGAGGAAAAACAGAGCCAAACGAGAGATTAATCTGAAAGTTTTATCAATATTATTTTACGAATATTTTGGTCACTAGTGGGACTAGCTAAAAATGTCGAAAGACCTTTTATGTGAATTCCAAAATTTATTACGAAACAACATCACTTGATCTTTTCCTTCGAACCTCCTAGTTTTGAAGATATTGTGATACTGTGAAATAATCTGCGAGTTCCCTTTGCATTAATTAAAAAAATCGACGATTTTTTTTCCCAATATTTCTAAAACTATTAGGTTTTAAGAGAGCATGTCAAGACGTTTTTGTGAATAATTAAATAACCCACAGAAGAAATTTCTTGATGAACCAATAAAACCAGAACAAAATACAACAGAAAAGAAAGCAGAGACGATTCCACATTTCAATTCAAGTTACTTTGCAAATATCTCGAGAACTATTACATGTAGACAAATGTTGAATGTTGACATTTCTCATGGATAATTAAATTTCCGCAGAAAAATTCTCTCAATATTGCCCTCCAACAGTGAAGCTATTCATGACGACATTTGCGAAATAATCTACAAATTTTGTTGCAAATATCTCTGAAACTGGTAGATTTAGATAAAAAATATCATATAATTTTTTTGTAGAGGATTTCGAGATCCACAGAAAAAGTTTTTTGGCATTTTTTCTCCACCCAACAAGTCCAGGAATATTCAGAATAAATGCATCGATTCTATCGATAACGAAATCACGCCATAAAATTACGAAAACCGAAGTGTTGCCTGCCCAAAAATTCCTCGTAGCTCCAAACAATTGGTCAATGAAATCGAAATATCCAGGTGTACACGTCGATTACAAATAATGGTCCGAGAGGCTGCAATACTCACCATCAGAGTAAAAAAACAAATCCAATTCAGTGATGATGGGATAAAATATAAAAGGATCTAATTTCGTTTAGTGTTGAAACACCTCGAAAACAACTCAAATTAGGAAGAAATATGGAAATTTTCTGTAGAAGATTACGTTAGCTACAACAAATTTCGATTCTAATATCTCTCTAAATTGAATAATGATAGAGATGATTTGATATTCAACAAAAATTGAAGATGGGTCTTTCTACGTTATCACCACTCAAATTTTCCACAATGAAAAGCAGAAAAAAACCTCGAGCATCTGATAACAAATACCACAGCCTCTTAAGGTTCATTCGAAAGTAATTAAAAATATAGATATTATGCAAATATATGTGTATATATATGTGTGTATATATAGAATTTTTTTCATTTTTCTTTTCTCTCATATTTTTCTTTTATACAATTATTGAGTGGATATATATGTACCTAATAATTTCCTTGAATTCACACAGTGAAACGACGAGGTTAGACATGATCATGATCGTAAGTTCCACTGATTACCCATCTCTCAAAAAACTAAGATGAATATTAAAGAAGTAATTGATAAAAATTATAAAAATGTCCATTGCTTTCATTAAGGCCAACTTCACTTAGTCACTCATCTCCTTTAAACAACGTCATAAAATTGAGATCATTTGATCGCCAGTGCTTGATACAATGAAGGTAATTCAATATTTTCATACTACATTCGACAATAGCCAAACGAATTTTTAAAAAAATCACACAATATCTCCACCTCTCACTCATCTTGTCTCATTTTAAAAAATTACTTCAATCACTTGAGTCAAGTTTTTCTTTTTTATTATTTCATCCTCACTTTTTTTCTTTTTTTTTTAATTATCACAGGAGCACCTTCAAGAGACTCGCATGCATTCAGAGGCTCTAACACAAGTCAGACGCGCTCGAGTGCCCTCGCATTGTCACCGAGCCCTGACCCACTTGACACCAGCCCTCCAGAGCTGAATTCATCGTACAAATTATTATTATCCCTTTCATCATTTTTTTTAATACAAAAAAATATTGCCCACAATTTCTTAGACTCCTCTTAAACTCCTAGTCACTATAAACAATTTTCACTTTGTTCAAATAGGGCTTATCAACTCCATTTTCACTCGGTTTTACACTTATAAAAAAAGCTGTACGTCTAATGAATTATACACAATTTACAAAAATTCGAGGCTGTTGTTTCATTAGTGATCATCATTTTCGTTCTCTTAGTTCACAATAGAATTTAGCACGTCAATCTCTATCGTCATCGTCACTCATTTTTCAACCCTCGTCGTTCCACTGACTCGATAAATCCTTGTTCATTGTTCTGATTATTCCATTTTCATCAACTCAAGTCACTTACTCTCGTCCACTCATAATGTAAAAAACTCATTCACACGTATTCATGATTCTTGTATCATCTTGTATCCATTTCTCGTTACTTTGGTAATGCAATAAATGAGTACATTTAGCAAAAAATAACAAATTAATTATCGACGTTAATTCGATACACTTTTGGAATTTACACATGTGACCGCCGTGTAAATCCAGAATTTCTCGAACTATCCAGATAATTAAATCAAAATTGAACTGAATTAAAAGTCTCAACTGATGATAATAATTCTTGGAGTAAAGTGAAAAAACGTGACTAATGAAATTCGACATTCATAAGATTTGAAAAATCTACAATAAATATCTTGTAATTTTCTCCTAAAACCATCCACTATCGAGTTAATTCCATTTTAACGTGACGTTTCATCACTTCACCGCTGAATTTTTTAAAATAAAATTTTGTAAATGCTGATAAAATCAATAATGCTTCTCGTTAATTACAATATTTGAGATCTCTTGTCCACAATTCATCGATCCAACATGAGAGTAAGTGACCGTTAACATTTTCTAGATGATAATGGTTAAAAAAACAGTAACAACGGATTTATCATCAACATTATCGTGTGGATAAAAAGGGGGTGGGGGTGGGTTTGTGGTATGGGCCGAATATTCTACACTCGTACGCATACAATAATGTAAATAGCATAATAAAACGACGTCCTCAAGATAGCAAACGTTTCTTCATCGCCCACAACACAATATTTTCTTCAATTACTCGTTGATGACAATTAGAGAGCAATTTAACGTGCATTTACTAAAAAAACATTTATACTTTAATCATCCTCAATAAATTCATATTTCATCTCTCACACTAATTTTACATTTATCGCAATTAATTACATTTATTTAAAAAAGATATTACATACGTCACCTCATCAATGCTCTCCAATTAATTCAATTTGAAAATAATATAAAAGAACATTACTCACGTCTGTCCATCATTTCTATCTTCTACTTCTCTCTATACTTTTGACATTATTCGCGATTATTTATACTTCATATAAAGGGATTATTACCTTGTGCTCAACACAAGGACCAATACCAATTTTTTAAAAAATCGAATGGGCGCATGGGGGATCTTTCTTTTTAGGAAATCAGGGACAATTGAAAATAAAAGGAATTATATAAGAAACAACAATTATTCAAAATAAAACACCCATCGTACGTCTTATTGATCTGAAATCACAGATAGTTATTTCTAAAAAAAAAAAAAGTTGTTTAAAAAGAGGGGAAAAATAATATATGTATAAACCGACTTCTGCTTTACTTCGAAAATAAATTGACGCACCTTAAGAGACTGGCACAGCACTTATAAATTACGTAAAAATTACCCTCCTTTCTTGGCAATTCATTAGTTTACGATTAGTTTTTTAGTTCTTTGTTCTGGGTTTTTTAAACGTTGAACAAAAAACATTTTCGTTGTAACAATGGAGAATGAAGTCGAAAGGGGAATGACAATGCACGTACGAAAAAATTTCTTTGAAAAACCGAGGGATTTAACTGGAAAATTTGATTGGATTTCTGTTGAACTTTTACTAGTTTTTGGCCGATTCTATTGAAAAATTCCGCAACTTGATTGCACGTTTTTTTTCAATAAAAATATTCAAAGGATAATATTCCGTGGAAAAAAATAAACAGAATTCGATTTTTCAATGCAACTCATACTACTGAGATATTTTCTCTCGAAATTCCTCGACTCAAATTTTCCAAGGTTTTTTCGTTAATTTTTTTTTTTTATAAAAAGAAAGAATTTCCTATCGAATTCGCTGGGTTTTTCTGTGAATATTTTTCGTGCGTGTGAGTATGGATTTTAATGTTTAAAAGATTATTTATCAGGTTTTGATGAGAATGGGTTTTAGACTAATCTTTCCCCTTGGAAATGGGAATTTTAGCTTATGTGGTAATGGGAATATTGGTGTTTTTTTTTCTTCTTAGTTTTCATCGGAAGGACAGAAACTGGCTTAAAGCGGCAAGCCAGACTCACGGATTATAGATTATTGTTATATGTTGGCGGTGCTTTAACGCTTTTATGGATTCGTTTTTTTTTCATGTATTTTCCCCGTCAGACTCGTTGGGAGACTCAACGTCAATCATTTTCCGTCCAAATGAGCACTGGTTAGACATTTTGTTGGGGTGGTGTGGATTTCAACCACCCTGACGCATGTTGGCGGCCACCAATGCCATTTGATTTTGATTCTGCGCTAGGATGAGCCGTTGCTGGGCCTGGAGACGGGCAAGATCTGTCGGTGATGCAAATGCTGGGTACGTGAGAGTTGTGTTTAGACTTTCGTTGTGCTCCTCGAGGGAGTTCTGGGCGTAGTGAAGGACTAGCTGCTTCAGGTTTTCGTAGATGTTGTATGGATCGGCGAAACCATAACCACGCTCAGTTGCGTAGATTATGCAGTGATTAACGGTTCCATTACACATAATTGACAGAGCATACTGTCCAGTCCTCGACTTTCTGACCAAAAACGTTCCATCAGGTTTCCCAGCGAGAACCCTGTCAGCATCGTCCCTAGTTCCCTCCATATACGACCATGTTCTCTCATCAGCGTGCACATCCAAATCAAACTCCTGAAAATCATTCAAGGCAAGTTCTCCACCCACTGGATTCGAGTAAGAATGATTCAACGTGAGCTGATTGATCTTGGTCTGCTTCATGCCATGCTTCCTCAGCCACATTAAATGCCTGTCTCTCTGCCTCATCAATTGCACCATGTCGGGTTTGAGTTTGTACATCTCACGCTCGAGAGTTCTGTTGTACGCAATCTGCTGTCTCAAGCTGTCGTCCAGGTGTTCCTTGCTGTCCTCCAGTGATTTCAACCGATTTCTCAATAATTCAGCGTTATCAGTCAGCGTACACTTCTCATGGGGTTGCGCCTCCTTCTGGAACTTCTCCTGGAGTTTCATCTGGTCCTCGAACATTTTTATCGCCTCGCAGAAGGCGTCCAATGCCTGACGCTTCAATTGCACCTCGTAGGCCGTTCTGTTGTACAATTCTGAACACTCTTGATATTGCTTCATGTGATTGTGCATTTCTCTATCCAACTCGATGAATTTTGCAACCACGTTGGGCATGTCCTTGGTCGTTGAGGCTATCTCCTCGTCCTGCTGGGATCTCGAGACTGGATGCAGGAGCTTGATGTCCAGGGTCGCGTTGTACTGAGCTAGGGAACAATTGCGATAGTGGTCCACCAGCTCGATCACCGAGTGGAAGTTGAAGGGCTCTGAGAAGCCGTATTTTCCACCCCGGTGGCAGATCTTGATGAGCTTGTTGGTACCACCTTTACGGAGGGTCAGGGTGTACTCTCCTCCTTTGGAAGACGCATTGCGCACCAGGAACGTACCGTCTGGAGAGTCTACCATCATCTCGTTCACTTCGTCACGAGTTATGTCGCCCCAGTACCATTCCGCTTCCTGAAGAGATCGAGGCCTGAAAAAAAGTCAATGGGTTTGATGATTAGATTTTGATGTTAACATCCTTCTAGGAAGGTTTATGTAGTTTAATTGAATTGTTTAAAGAGTGGAGAGGAAATGAAACAGATGAATTCGCGAATTTTTTATTCGGATTGTCTTGGAAATATACGTGAAATTAACGGTTTAGGGGAAGTAATTATATACAGAAAAGGTTTCTTTGATAATTTGATGAAATGAATTTTCGGCTGAGATGAATGTATTGGCTGAGACGAATTGGATGGCTTAGTGTTGATTGGGAATTGATTAATTAAAATTTATTCGAAATTATTATAGCTTTAACAGGAGTAGAAGTGAATGTGAGAACTTAATAAAAAAAAGTGAATGTGAGAATATCTCAGACCCTCTGAAGACATTTATTTTTCACGAATAATAATTTGGAATAGAACTTTGAATATTTTTGATGATTAGGTTTTTGATGTTAATATTTTGATGGTAAGGTTTACGTAGTTAAATGGAATGGTTAAAATTATTCTCTCCAGAAAAGGTTCCTTTGTCAATTTCTCTGAACGTCTCCGTAATCAGAATATTTGGAATCGATGTAAGAAGTTTCTTTTCGCCAAGGCGGGCGGAAAAGCAGGTTTTCCTCCCACGAAGCGGGAAAAATAACGTTCTCACCACGGGAGGTAAAATAAAGGACCCTTACCCACGTGTTTTTTTTTCAGATTTTTAAAATGTTATCTAACGGTTCAACATCGAAATTCAATTTCACACCTGCAAAGTTTGCATCATAAAATCATTGTAAAATGTCCGAAAACTTAGGGTCAAATAAAGCTCAAACGAAAGCTCTGATGTTCGACTATAAAAGTAGAAAAGCATTTCACTGGAGACAAAATAGCGAAAGTACTTGAATATTCATAATTATGACACACTCAATAAGTAATAAATACCTGTGAGTTTGATGATCCTTGCTCTCTACACTCATTTGTCGATCACAAACAATTGTGTCCTCATCCAATGTTGAAAATGACTCAATAGGAAACTGGGGTCGTGATACCTTGCGTGGTGGCAATTGAGGTGCACTGGCAAATTCTGGCAATCTCTCACCCCAATTACCGTGTAATAACAGCAGTTCCATTATACGTATGTGGGCCTCGGTGTTATATACAACTTGACTGTAATTGGTAATCGACGTGTTTACAGAGAGAATGAATTTGAAGCTTCAATTGAGGTGGTTTAGTCATTAATCGATAAATTGATAAATTAGGGAATATGAGGGTTGGGGGAGAGGGATGAATCGATATACTCACATGATACGCTCCCAGGGGGGTCTGAGGATTATGTGACAGAGCACTTGAACGAGGATCGTCGGTGGTTCCGTGTAGCCACGGGCGTGTTGTAATTGACAGATACGGCAGAAGTGAGACATTAGGTAGTACAATGTACTTTTGTGATGCTCCGGGAGCTCTGATGCCAATTGATTGAGTTTCTTAGCACATTGTTCATCGTTTCTCGAACCTGAAAGAGTAGATGGTAATTGTAGTCATGAATTTGTTGGCATGACATTAAGTTTACGAGATTTAATTGGATAGAGGAGAGACTTTGATAATTATAGAATTAGAATTATGAATTATTAATCAGCTGATGAGTGGTATCAAGAGGAAATTTCAAAGGGCTTTTGGGGGGGAATTCCGTAGATTGTTACAGGATTAATGAGAACTTTGGAATTCAGGGGATTGTTCGGGTTGATAGGTGCTTTTGTTAATTAAAACAATAAACTGATATTTTTTACGGAAAATTTTAAGGGCTATGAGACAGGTTTCATGACATCTTTTTATAGAAGAAAGCGGTGGCCATTCTGCTTGAATTCTAAATATGAATAAATTTGTTACGATTCCGAATAAATGATTTTTATGGAGGAAAATTGACTGTTTATAAATTATTTATAGAAACTGCTCGTAATTTTCAAAAATTGCAATTGTTCAATTATTTTATCAATCTTCCTACAAAAGTAAACTTTCAAATGAAAGCTCTGAGGTTAGACTACAAACGTAAAAAAGCATTCATTGCAAAAAATAGCCAAAGTACTTGGATAACTTTAACAACTGAATTTCGCAGGTAATTTAATCATCTATAGCATAAAAATCCAAATCGACTTCTGGTGATAAAAAATTGGTACTCGAAATTATGAGAGTCATGAGAGTCATAATAAGGGTCACCAGGGTGAAAATATAAATCATAATAAATCACGAGGATCATGAAGGTCAGAAGAAGATCCACAAGGGTCAGAATAAGGATCACGAGGGTCACATTAAGGGCCCAAATAAGGGTAAGAAGGATCAGATTAAGGGTCACAAGGGTCAGAATAAGGATCATGGGGATCATATGGGGGTTAGCGAGCGGAGCGAGCAGGGGGCGCAGCCCCCTAGTCTTCCATATAATTGACTAAACATGTAGATACAATCAACTAAAAAAAAATTCATTTGCTCAAAAGGAAAGATTCGACAAAGTTTGAATTCTCATAACAAAAGTTCATTACATTGATAAATTTATTAAGTACATCACAATAAATGAACTTTTATCACCAAAATGATTTTGATGAAAGTGGAATTTTCATTAAAATAGTTCCTTCACGAATGGATTACCAACTTATTGAATCAGTCCGCAGATTCATAAGCATTAATAAAACTTTATGAAACAAGTTTTGCCATTTAATGGAATTATTTACCTGCAGCATCCAAGAATCTGTCGTACCACTGTACAGGAATAATAGGATCCGGCAATTCTCGTAAAAACTTTTTCAATACGCTCGCAATACAATAGGGGCTGTACGAGCTCAAATCAGCATTGTAGACATCTTAATGCAACAGAATAAGAATTGAATTCATCACATAAATGCGAATACAATGTGTAAGTAAATAAAGTGCATCTTATATTTGTTTCTCTTTATTTTCATTATTTCATTTCTATTCTCTTACGTACCTTGGTTGAGCTTTTGTCGTAATTCAATAACCTGTTCGTTGGGTGGACTGTTGTGATATACTTTGTAGAGATCGAGTTTTGTGTCAACGATTGCACGCTCCTCGAGGGCCAAAGTGCATCGCTCGACGAGGACCGGTGCTTTACGTGACGCTGCATCGAATTGTGAGCACAGGGCGAGGCCGAAAACTAAACAGAGAGGGGATCATTATTATTGCATTTTGCATTTGCATTTGCATTTTTTTCATGTCATTACCGAGGAGCTCTTTATGAAGTTGAGAAAATAAAAATAAAATGTAGGTACATAATAGTAATACTTAATTGTAGAGTCAACTGACCAGTTCAATTACTAGCCCAGTAATCGAACTAATTTGCTACTCTTCACAGAAAATACATGAATAGTCGACAGTGGTATCACAATACCAAAATCACATACTAAAATTGAAATTGGAACATTTCCAGACGGTGTTATAATCACCAAACACTTTTAAATCTGAAAGAATTTTTTTAATGATCTATGTGATGTAAAGTGAAGTCTCAATGATCTTCAAATCAACTTTCCACTTATATTTTTTAAGATTTTTTAAGATACGTTTTCATGATGAATGAAGGTAGTATTCAATCGTATGACCCCAATCTCCATATCGCATAAAACACTAGGGATAGAGATGGCATTAAGCAGACTTTTCTGGTGACCTTCCTCACGGGATTTAGGAGCAGAAAAAAGTCTACTCTAGAGTAATAAAAAGGGGAAACGAGAGATATCTGTGTGTGAGGCACTCGACAACGGTTGCAATTGTTAGTTAGCATGAATTACACGACTCATACGATCAGCTCTACTTGATAAGAGTATCCATTTACAATGGCATAAAAAAGGTAGAAATTGAAGGAGGAAAAAAAATATGAATTAATTTCTACAACTCGAACGCCCACGCGTCCTCTTCAGAGTTATGTGCAATTGACTGCATCATTTGCCGAGTGTGAATTTCAAAAAAAGATAAATGCATTTATAGTGAGAACATGAGGTCTTGATAAAGTCTGTAGTAAAGTTGTAAAACGCAATGAATTGAGACGAGTATCGCTGAATTTAAATAAAGGAGATAGTGTACATCTTTCGAGACCTTTTTGTGGAATACAATGAGGGATACAAAAAAATTCTTACGAAATTTTCACTATCGTCCGGTGATTTCAAGACGTTCTTTGAAAGTTCCTTTTGACCGAGTTCGAAGATGAAGGCGATAGCAATAACCGTTATTTTGATTTATTCGAAAAATTTCAAAAATTTTGTGTTTTTTGAAAATTAGAATTCCGAGGCTATCTGTGAATACCATGCTTTAAATGAATTAAATCATAGATTAAAATGTTTGTTTTAATGCAATTAAGTCGAAGTTAAAAGATGATTACGATAGCTATACTGGTTGATTTGATTTTTATGATGATTGTTGAAAATTTTGAATTTTTCGTAAATTTCCCTGAAAGTGAACATTCTGATGGTTTCTTTAAATGCGATGTTTCAACTTCATTCAAGTATGTATAAATAAAATTTTTTTATCAATATTTTATCGAAGGGCTGAGGGGAGAGACAAGACTGTAAAAAAGACAATCGGTTGTCTAGAAGAAAAGGATAATGAGAATAATGATGATGATAACATCCAACTAATTTGAAAATCTGATAAAATTAGGTACAAGGAAATCGTATTCAATTGAATAAAATTAAATCAGTAGCGAAGCGATAAACCGGGTTAAGTCGAGTTTGACTTTTGGGCAGTTTTTTACGAATTTCTCAGAATCTAAGAGAGATAGCAAAATTTTTATAATGACATTTTTTATAGCACTCAATTGACTCTACAAAAAAGGTTATGACAAAAATTTTTTCATCTCTTTTAGATTCCGAGAGATTCGTCAAAAACTAGCTAATAGTTAAAATCGACTTAACCCGGTTTACCGCTTCGCTACTGAAATTAACTATACTATATGCAATACAAGAGCAATTTCCCATTTGTTTATCCTCTTGATCTTGAGTATGAAACGATAATTCTTTTAGCTCGAGGAATCTTCAATTAAAATTGTTTTTCGTCATTTTTAGATGAAACTGTCATCGTGAAATGAAATTCATTCAATTTTCCTTCCTTCCTTCTGAATCATCTCTATGACAAGTGATTCGAGAGACAAATGTCAAAGACCATTCTCCTAGCTAACAATATTCCCATCAAGGAATATCTTCTGATTTTCTCGTAAATCTCTCATTATCGAGATAATTGCACATGTTTCAACGCTTGACTACTGAATTCTGCAGTTAATTGCATCATCTTCTATTACGATCATTCAATTATCTATGAATCAGTCTCTGGCATAATGTCAATCGTGTGATTAAGTCACACAAGTGATTCTCATATGTTTATTCCACGTGGATTCGCTAACGTCAATCATTTAAAACGGGAAATGAACATATCTATGATTTTTTGAGTTGAAAAAATTCATTGAAAAGTCCTTAGATCCAGATAAAAATATGTTCCGATCAGTTATCACGGACAATAACTGTTGTTCGACAGTAATTGATGAATGACTATAATTTCCACTAATGATATTGTGAAGGAATAAGAATAATAATTGTCATTATCACATGGATTACTAATTTGAATTTCCACAAAGTGTCTAAGAATAGTCGTCATCATTATCTTGTTCTGCACAGTCTCCATTTTCTACCTGTTTAACGTGACAATTAGAGGCCAATGAATGGACACAACCTGTTCTCAGCAATCTCGACTTGATTAATGGTAATGTTCATTAGTTATCCACGTGGATTGCTAATCTCAACAATTTGTAAGAAGTCAATAATTATTCAAGTCGTGATCTGGTGGAGGAAAGATAATCACGATCTGCCAAGAGATGCACAGAGAAATATTACCAATGATTCCGCATAGTACTTGGTAAAATGATAAATAAAATGTGTTAAGGGAATTTTATGAAGAAGATGCAATTTTTCTTGCGGGTATCTTTGGAACTGGTGCGTTCATTTCGCAATATCTACATCCAGAAAAATGATTTATTAGATTCAAATAAAGTTTATTTGAATCAAATAAATGAGTTTATTTAAATAGTACCAAATAACAGTTTTTTTTCAAATTTAATAAAAATTTTGTTTGTCATAAATAAATTGTTTGTTTAATATAAGTAGATCCTTTTTCTTGGAACAAGCAAATAAGTTCAGTCATTTGTAATAAAAATATTATCGAAATAAGTAAAAATTTAGAAATAAAAATTTTTATTTCATTCAAAAAAAACATTTTTCTGGGGGTAGAGATTTTTTTGTAGCTAATTAAATTCTCTACAACAGAGGTTCCCTGAAGTTTTCCTCCAAACCTACCACTCCCAGGGTACATAATTCTCATGAAGTTGTCTCACTCATCTCTCCTAGATCCATTCATCCATCATAACAATCGCCCAATAAAAAAACAATCTCATAAAAACTATATAATTTAGATCTACTAACTTCTCCAACATTTTCCTCTATATCCACTAGTTCCCAAGATATTTGTAAAATGATCTGCAGAAAATCTTCACCCATCGTTTTCATCCAAAATATTTCTGACCACGATTGGGCGGGCACAGGAAGGAAAAGTTTCAGTTTTCAGGTATGTGAGTAATTTTTTGGAATCGATCATTAATTTGGAAAAATCAATCTCTAATTTTTACGGATTCTAAACACGAACGAGAATTACCCTAAACTTTAGGGATTCAATCACTGAAATTTAAGAACAAAATTCATACAATTTAGGATTATATCATCAGAAATTTGTTACTTGATCAGCAGATTCCTAAAAACTACAACTTTTTTGGTCCGTAATTATTTATAAGACTAATAGATTCATCGAAGAATCCCAAAAGGCGTTCTTTATAGCCCATAAATGTCTCTACAAGAATGGTCCACTGAATTTTTCCTCCAGAACTCCTATTCCCAAGGTACAATAAAATTCGTAAAATTTTGGAATCCGTCACTAGAAGTTTGTGAAAAAATCACGTGATTTTAGGATTTCTCGCCCGTTGAATTCAAGAATACCGTAGATCCCTGAAAGCTAAACCTTTTTTTTCCTCTGTGAATAGTTGTGAGACTAGTTTATAGAAAAATTCCAAAAGGCGTTTTTTATAGCCCATAAAATTCTCGACAAAAGAGATTGACTGAAGTTTTCCTCCAAATCAACTATTCCTAGGGTACACGATCTTCACGAAGTTGTCTCATTTATCTCTCCTAGATCCATCCATCAATCATATCAATCACCCAATAAAAAGGAATATCTAAAAATAATTTCAATCCACCAACTTCTCCAACATTTTCTCCTTCACTTGATGCGACAATTTCAGTCGAACAGATGAACACAGTCTGTTCTTGACAATCATTCGCAAATTAAATTACGGGAGTAAAAGAAGTAGACGTGGAGAAGACTGAAGCAGATGAGCACAAGGGAGTCGAAGGGAGAGGGAAGTGGAGGGCGATAAATGGAGGTGATGAACCGGAGACTAAAGTAATGGCCACAGCATTTGTGTCTATGGGCACTGGCGCCACTCGTATGAATTAACCGGCAAAATGCGCAGACTCTCGGTCATTCCCAATGTATACCACGTGCAATGTTTTGTGATACCATTATGACATGCGCCCACAGATTCACAAGTGAGCTGTATTAATCCTCAGTTGCAATAGAACACGTATATTTGTTGTGTCAAAATGTGCACAATCGAGTAACTTCCGACATGTACATAGTGAGCAACACTTATGAGACAATCGATTATTTTATAACTCCTATCTGCATATTTAACTTTATTGTTTAGAGTGTCCTTGAAATATCTCACGTACAAAATTTACTATGACAGATGTATAATGCAACCTCGATTGTGTGGTTTCACTGAATGCAGATGAAGTTGATGATTTTTTATGATGATGGATTTATTTTTCGATATGCCGAAGGAATTTCAATAAGAAAAACGAGATACTTTGACAATTATTCCGTGAATAACTTTGGAAGGAAGGGGTTGAGAGGAAAATTTCATTAAATCTTTTTTGTTGAGAATTTTGGGAGGAATAGAAAATGTCTTCTGACTTTTTTCGATAAAACCACTAGTTTTGGAGATATTTAAGAAGTAATGGGAATAAAATCTCTAACGAATTGAAAAAAACTTGTAGAATAGTTCAGAAATAACTTGTGAATTACTAGGGTCATAAAAAATGCAAAAAAATCTTTCTTGTAGATATTTTGTGATCTGGAAAAAAGGTTCCATGACGTTGTTCATAAATTACTAATTTTATGGGCATTTTCAAAATAATTTACAAACATTTTGAGATCCATCTCTTTCTAGCACTGGTTTTAATGATTGCATCATCATAAATTTTTTTTATGCGATGAAATTATACGTAATAGTCCGGTTAAACTCTGAACTTTGAAGTTTAATTCAATTTCCTATGTTTGATAAATTCACCCAAAAGTATCTGTACGTTGAAAATTTTACATCTCTCTGTGGTTTAACACAATGATACCTCCAAACTCGTGGTTTTTAGTCCCATAAAACGTGAGCATTACACTTAATATCTGTTGTGGTTAACCTCCGGCAAGGGTAAGGAATGGCAACGGTGGCTATAGTAATCGTATTTTCCTACTGCGACAAAACCACAAATTCGACACATAATTTTTTTTCATACACGTGTAAATGTAAATCCCTCTCTGCTAGAGTCTACTATGAGTTTTAAAAGTCGCGGGGATATTCGAGTAAGATTTCTCATGCATTGAAGATCGATTATATATGTTTAAAAACGAAAAATTGGTGCAAATAATTAATTGTTTATTGTTCGTGTGCCCCGCAGATGCTTATAATGTTAAAAATAGTCCAGAGCTTCCAATTTTTCAGCTACAGAGGTTTTTTTTCCAAATTTTTGACAAAATGTGTACAATAAAAATTACGAATTGTTTTTAAATTCGACTCCTACGCAGCTAATTTCGTTTTGTTTAAATAAAATTCCACCATTCATGTAAAATAGCCTGAAGAATGGTTCTGGAAGAATCGAGAATATTTTCTTTTTTTATTCGTATTTCTTTCCTACTACCATTACGGATTTATAGGCAGCATCGAGAATATATTTTAAGTATTCTAAGGATAATATTTCTGCCTGTTTTACATGAATGGCGCAAATTTTTATATTCAACAAAACGAAATTAGCTGTGTAGGAGTAGAATTTGAAAAAACTAATTCATAACTGTTATTGTACACATTTTTTCCAAAAGTTTGAAAAAAACTGTAGCTCAAAAATTGGAGGCCCTCGACTATTGTCAACATTTTAAACGTCTGCGAGGCGAAAAAACAATGAACAATTTTTTTGCATTAATTATTTGTTTTTCGACATATATAATTGATCTAAGATGCATGAGAAATCTCACTCCCATAGCTCGCGACTTTAAAATCTCATAGCGGTCTCCCCTAAAATCGAGTTTGACGATTAGTTTACCCTTTTTTGTAGAGCTCATTGAGAGCTAAAAAAATGTCATTACGAAAATTTCACTATTTTCCTTAGATTCGGAGATATTTCTCGAAAACTCAGCTAAGAGTTGTCGACTTAAATCGTTTTACCGCTTCGCTACTGAATTTCATTATATACAAAAAAAATCGACTGGAATTTTTCGCTAAATCTAATATATCCAGAGTTGTTCAGGAAATGAATGAGAAAGTGGAATGTATCACTTCGGATGATCTCATCTTATCCTACTAGTTTGAAAGATATTGAAAAAATAATTTCAATGAAATTCTGTATGATGTTGGAATCACACATAATTTCTATCAAAAAAGTTTAATTTGTTAACGGTGTTTTACTACTACTACTGAAGTCAACGAAAGCTAAACGTAAATATCTCAGAGAATAATAATTCTGGCATAATCCCCCTGATCCTACTATTTCCATTTACATCCATGGAATGAATGAGAGAGTGAAACATAATACTAAGGCATACAAATCCGGAATCATCTTTCGCTTTTCATTCCATTCTCCTGATATTCTTATCTTATCCTATTAATTGCAAAGATATTTGAAAAACGATCTGCATGAAATTCTTTGCGATCTTGAAATTATACATTATTTCTACTAGGAATGTTCCATTTGCTGACAATTTTTTATGATTACTACTCTACTCTAGTTAAAATCGTCAAGAGACCCTTCTGAAGACAGATTTTTTGTCTACAACAAACTCCTGACATTTATTCCTAAAGTTACTATTTCCACCAATTTTCACAAAAACGATGAGAGAATGGAGTATAATATTAAGGATATCCAAGGATTCAACCATCTTCAATCATCAAATTTATAAATTAAATTGCGTGAGAAAAATTTGAAAAACATGAATATTCAGTATTATTAACATTACATTTTGCACAGAATTATTATTTTTTGTAACATTCGTTGTTCATAAATAAATAATTGAAATGGTTTATCTTCGGAAACCTTATTTTTTTAAAGCATGAAATCGATTTCTGGTAAAATTACGAATATGAAATTTGTTACGATTCCGAAGAAATGATTTTTATGGTGAAAATTTGATTGTTTATAAATTATTTATAGAAAATGCTCGGTATTTTCAAAAATTGCTATTTTGATTATTATTTCGTTAATCTTCCTCCAAAAGTAAATTTTCTAACTTTTAAAATAATTTTTTAAATAAATTTTAAATAATAAAATCGTTGTAGAATGTCCGAAAGCATAGGGTCAAAGGAGGCTCAAATGAAAGATCTAATGTTCGATTACAAAAGTAGAAAATAATGTCAATGGAGAAAAAATAGCCAAAGTACTTGGAAATCCTTAAAGCATAAAAATGCAGAATAAATTTTCTCTGTTCATTCTGTTTTTCTGATATCCTCATCTTATTCTATCAATTTCAAAGATATTCAAGAAACGATTTGCATGGAATTTCAGTTGCGCTTGATACCATGAAATGTATCAAATTTACTCACAACGTTTCACAGTCACGGCTGAAATGAATGACTGATAACAATCGTCAAGAGACCCTTTCTAAAGACAAGTTCATAATGTACAGAAAATTCTCCTGAAACTTTCCCTTAATCCTACGATTCCCAAAGATATTCATAGAACGAATGAAAGATTGAAATGTTATACGAAAAAAATAAAAATTCAAAGCCACATTTTTCTTTTCACTCTGTTTCGTGCTCACCTGAAGTCAATCGATTGCTTCGACTCTCTGGCTCGGATGGTACGCAGGCCGTGGGCAAACCCGTTGCCGTGCACGTTCTGTGGGCGACCAAACCGCAATCTAAAATAAGAATGAAATCAAGAAAAATAAAAAATTGACAAGTGTCAAAAGGAAATATTTGACTGGCATGTTCTCCTCAATAATTCCAATTGATTAAGCAACACACCTTGGCATAAGAATCCTTGATGCAAGAGACCCCGAAGATATTTGTGGCACTTGTCACATCTCTCCAAAACACTGAAACTGTGAGGCACTAAATTGTGCTGATTACCACTGCTGCTAAGTGTCACAGCAGTATCACTGGTTATGTTAGTATCATTGCTCGATAGTGATGTTGATGACTTTAATGTCTCTGACGCTGGTGACGTTGACGTCTGGCACAACTCCTCGATACACACCAGGATATTCTTCTGATGAAACTCATCCTTAATTCCCATATTCTAATTGAAGAAAAGAAAAAATCAATGTAATTAATTGCAGAACTTGTCGTAGTTTACTCAAATAATGCAAATATTCCCACGAAATTTTCCGATGCTGATAAGTATTACTCATTAGAACACACATTTCCATCCATTTGACTAAACACTGTCTTAAATAAATGAAACGAATCTCCAAATTGTCGCATGTTTCTTTTCCAATAAAATCGGTATTAACGTGATGATGCAATTCGATAACGATTTTTCATCAGCTTGTAAATGGCAACTGGTCGTTGGAAAAATGGTTAAAACACAATTTTCGGTAAATCACCCAGTATTGAAAGAACGTGGCCATAAATCTATGAAGTTTGCTTGAAGCTCGCAATTTCAATGTCAATGATGTTATCCCTGTAATATGACAGGTGTAGTTAAAGTAGCTCTATCCTTAAGGCCGAAGTCATTGAGTGTTTTCACAAAACAAGTGAAAGATTGTTTTCGTCACAACATGGTCAAAATATTTTTGCTAATAAATTTGCCATTTGCTTTCGAGTGGAATTTCTATGAAGATGTAATTTAAATTTAATTCAATGATTCATTTAATTTAACATTGCCCTAACGTTGGCGGCCAACATTGTCCAAATGTTGACAGCCAATATCACTGTAACGTAAGCAGCCAACATTGGCCCAACATTGGCCGCCAACATCACCTTAAAGTTGGTAGCCAACATTGGCCCAACGTTGACAGCCAACATCACCTTAAAGTCGGTAGCCAACATTGCCCCAACGTTGGCCGCCAACATTGCCCCAACGTTGACAGTCAATATCACCATTCAAAAAAAAAAAAAGAAAAAAACAAAAAACAAAAACAAAAAATCCACAAAAATTCCGCTACGTAGCGCAAATCTGAAAATATTCCCTACACTGGGAAAAAACAAGTTTTTTTAGAAGTACCTCTTTTTACTTATATCAAGAAACTTCTGACTCGAAAATTGACAAGAAGATAATATCTCACACTGAAAAAAGAAACCTTTTGTCAAGAGATTTTGTACTCGTCCGAAAGATGAGGGGCAATTCGTTCAAAACAAGAAAGCGACTTCTCGAACCAAGTCAAGTGAATTTTGCATTATAATATTTTGCATTTGAGACTTAAAAACTGTTGTCTAAATCGATTTAACTAGACTTGGTTGAAAAAATCACTTCCTTGTCATGAAAAAATTATCCTGATCGTTGGGGCAAATAGAAAATCTCTTGGCAAAAATTTTTACTTCCTTAGTGTGAGATGTATTTTTCTTGTCAATTTTTGAGCCATGAGTTTCTTGATACAGGTGAACACGTACTCTTGAAAAAAAAAAATTTCTCAGAATAAAAATTAATTTCGAAGTTGTCGTAATTACATGTATTTAGTTCTGGCTCAATGTAATTGTCATTCAACTCTCATCTTCTTCTGTCATGCGGTGATAACTTTGAAGCCGAATAATTTTTTGAAAGAACGTCGAAATATATTTTTTTTTTAAATTTAAATTTACCAATTTTGTACAACAAAAGACTTTTGACAGTCTCCCTAAAAATTCCCCATTATTGTGACACTTGATGTGTAAGAAAGAAGGGCCAATCTCACTTGAAAATCCATTTTTTGTAAACATCTCAATATCGAAACTAGATAGTGGAAATCTTGTAGATTCTTTTGTGAAGAAAAAAATTGAAAGCTACAAGAAAACTCAAAAATTCCGTTAGCTCGCTCAGATCCAATACTATTCCTCAAAAATGAATCTCCAAGTAGCCTTATTTCCTCGTTTCTAAGCTATCACGATGCTACTGTAATCTAACCCAGATTTTTCTTCCATTATTTCATAATCACCTTGAGAACTAGTGGATTTTGATAAAATATCAGAAGAACTTTGTTGTAGGGAATGAAATCTCTCCTCCAAAAAATTGTCTTCTGATGCTTTTCCCTAAAATCCCTCATCATCGCGATAATTAAAATACCAGAAGATAAGTCAATTCCTCTTAAAAATAAGTTTCTAGTTGCTATCTCAGTGTCGAAAGTAAATCGTGTAAATCTCATATCACTTTTTGATTAAGAAAATTGAGTTACAAAAAACAAATCCCCGAAAATCCCACCATCTGCCCCTGATCCAGCGATATCCCCCAAAAACAAATTTCGAAGTTCCCTTATTCCAACTTATTTAGTCCTACCATTTTTCTACTGACTTGAATCAAACAACCTGAACTGAAAACATTTTTTCCTCGATATAGGAAGGTACATAATAGTAAAAGCCAAGCGTAGTCTTGAAACCGGTGGGAATTGGGAGACGAGATTGCGGGTTCTATCTCCCTCCTCTGAGTCTATCTCTCTCTTTCTGCTTCACATTAAGGAGGGAGAGGTCTCGTGGCCAACGAAACGTGACATTCGCTTGCCGGCGAAAGATCGTGAGCCAAAACGAAGTCACGGTGAATGCAGAGAAGAGCGCTGAGGCTAGATAAAAGAACACAAAAAAATCACGAAAAAAGAAAAAGAAACTGTGAACTGAAGAAAAAGAGGAAGAGGGGTCAGGGGAAAGAGGAACGGAAGGAGGTGAGTTTAAAGTGAAAGAGGGAGTCTCGCTGTAGGTCTTGGGCTTAGACTGGGAGTATGTCGTTTCCACACACACACAAGAAGGACACGAGACCACGGTGGACAATTTACGAGTCGATTAGTATGTTAATCGAGATTTACGCTGATGAAAAAGCCTTGGCGCCTTGCATCGTTTTTTCACACTTTTTTTTTCAACGAATATTCCACGTTTCCATTTTTGTACCTCCCCCGAAACTACTTCAACTACAACAAAAATCAGTGGTGATATACTGAGCAACAGGAGTGAAATATAAATTATCGGAGTGTTTTATGTGGATGAAAATAAAGTGAGGATATCATTGACTGAACTCACTTCATCATTTTCCAAGGTTTCAACATTTTTTGACTCGTTTCATGTGCTGTTTACTGTGAAGATATTTTCGAGAATAATTTTGATGAAATCTCAAGGAATAGACGAAAGTTGATTGAACATTTACAGAGAGATCGAGAGACAAAATTCTGTGACTTTTTTCTCTACATTTCAAGAGAGTGACATTCAATTCGATTAGGCAGAAAAAATAATGAAATTTATAATTTCACGGAAAATTCAATGGAATTCGCAGTTTTTTAGCTGAAGTACAACGAGAGATACTAAATTTTCCTTGAATTTTCCTTGAAAACTTGGATATTTAGTAGCTAATTATACACAATTTTCTGAATTTCTATGAATTTTCATAAAATAATTGAACTACAATTTACAGTTTCCATTGATTTTTGCAAAACTGAATTTTCGATGACAAAATTCCTTAAAATTTCAGCGGAACGATGATTAAAGATACCCAAGTACTTTGGCTATTTTTTCTCCAGTGGAATGCAAAATTTCAAATGATGTATTCAATCAAAGCCTCTCAAATCCTAAAGATTAATTTTTTAATTTTCATGTAATATCTAAGCTACATGCTCCGGGAAAACTGAATTCTCCTCTCATTTTTGTGATATTACAGTCAAATTTCGTTCAACCAAAAAAATAACTAATTCCGAATATTCGACGCTGATAGAAAAGATGGAAGGATTTAGTTGCTCTTAATGAGACATCTTGACTATTAACACCATTCATACCATTCATGATTTTAATAGCTAAAAATCCTCGTTAGCAGCAACTAAATCCTTCTATCAGTGTAGCATTTGGTATGTCAAAGCCATCAATATTATATTCTGTTAACAAAATTGTCTCGTCATGTTTTAACATTCCAGAAGAAAATCAACATTTCTTGAACAATTCCATTTGAATATTTAGTGTTCAATGGAAAATATCAGTTGCTTCACTTCACTCATTGAATATTCCTTGAAAATTTAATAAATGAAGCAGAATAGAATTTGTAAATTTGTCAAGTTTTTACTTGCACTTGAATATCCTCAAATAAATAAAACATTGTTCAAGGGAATGTGACACTCACCATCAGCTTCTCCCGATCCAAGTGCAGCAGATCGGCCCCTTTGATGTCCTTGGATTTAAATACATCGGCATATCGATACAGATTAAGGGCCGACATCCACTCGACCACATTCAGAGATGTCCACTCGCTCACAGGCTGAAAAATTTCAAGAAATAGGGAATTGATTAATCAAAATGAACAATCGTCGGATGATAAATTTGTGAGTAATTTGATAAAGAGAATGCTTGTTATCAGGTGTAATTTGCGATAAGAATCGATTGGTGATGATGGGAGACCCTCGATTCGTTCTGATTATTCTTTTTGATTAGCTTTTTTCGTGTTTGTGAGATAACGCGAGGAAAGGAGGACTGGGTTATCCGTATGAGGTTTTGCGGTCTGTTACATTGCCTTGGTGATATCGAGGGTTGTGCATTTATTTTAGGAAAATGATCTTGGAAGAAGTTCAAAGAGACAATTATACCAAAATGTTGTGAACCAGTTTGATAATGAAGACGATTTTGCTTTATCTAATTGTAACACTATATTGTATTTAAAATTTCGGCTTCTCGGAAAAATTAGGAGATTCTAGAAAATCGTAGATTGATGGAAGAAATTACTTCTCCTGAAAATTGTGTATTGCACGTGGTTACACTGTCCGTAAAACGTCGTTTTGAAGAAAAATTATTAGTGATGCCGCGAGACACGAGAGAAAATAGACGAGACGAGAAGAGTCATTCGAGACAATGACAGAAACGAGACGAGACAAGAAAAGCCGGTCAAGAACGAGAGAAACGAGAGGCGAGACGATAGTCGAGAGAGTCTCCCCCTCTCTGCCCCTCTGTGTATTTTTTTCCGGGCAAATTGGATTATAGAGACGAGATAAGGCGAGAATCTCTCAATTCTCGACGAGACGAGAAGAAATTGCTCTCCCATTTCGATACGAGACGAGACAAGAGAATGGCTTCCTGACAACGAGACCAGACGAGAAGATGCCGTTTCTCGTCTCGTTTCATCGCGCGGCATCGCTGAAAATTATGCTCGTCACTTGGCCGAAAACAACTTTTCTGACTCGTGTGATTGCATTCCTTGGTTTCAATTCAGTCTACAACCCTCACACGCATCAGAAAAGTTTTTTCGGTCTTGGGACAAAAATAGGTATTTCGGCCTTGTGACGAAATAATACATTATGTACTCGCCTGGACTCGGATTAAAAAGTCACATTCGTCCGATAGCACTTTTATCGCCGTGTGACACAATATTTTATGTCATTGGGCTCGAAATTCGCGAGATTTTGTGGAAGGGGAATAGATTGGTCACCCTATTCACCAGATTTGAAAAACAACAGAAAATTTGATAAACAACATTAAAAAGACTGTTCATGGTGTTCCACAGGAAACATTAGAACATGTATATTCCACGGTTTTAGGAAACGTTTGGATTTTTGCGCCAGTGTTGATGGCTCTCATTTCGAAGACATTTACTATTAATCGCACTTGTCACGTACAATTTTTATAAGCTACTATTTTTGTTAGGTGAATTACATGTTTCAATAATGAATATACGGTGGAACAAAAATGACAATTCTCCTCTATTAGGAACTGTATTCCTTCTCTTTTTCCCTGTTTCCAGTAAAAAAAAATAATCAAACAGTTTTCACACATTCCCATGGGACACCCTGTATATTCCCCAGAATTTTTTTTACGGTCGTAAGCGCCGTTATCGCACGCGCAGCGTGCGTGAGTCGAGACTTTACGAACGGAGTGACAAAAAGTTCGTTGACTAATCATCTCCGCAGGGTTCCTGCATCATTAGCTCGTCATTAATTCGCCGACAGACACGAATTCACCCTGCGTGAAGAAGTGGTAGATGATAAGGGAGACCATAAAAATATTGTTTATGAAGGCGGGGGAGGAGTGTTAAAAACAGTTGATTTAAGGCGTCATAACTTGACAGTTACAGCATCATAATAATGTGTAATAAAAGACGAATTACTAACGACGAGAACACCAAAAATACATGGTAGAAACGCTATAAGGTATTATTGCTATTAAATTTGTCCCGCGTGGAGAACTCTAATCATCTCCACTTGCGATATGAGGGCCGATAAAATCCACAAGAAAAAGAAAAAAAGTGAATGACTTTCGTAAAGGGAAGAGAGAAGACCCTGAGTCTTCAGCCCAGAAACTTACCAATGTGGAACCCACCAAATCGTTGCGCTGAGTTATTTCAGGCAATAAATGCTATTCTTGGTTACCCAAATACGAATTCCAAGGAAATGCTATTTTTTCCAGAGTCGGGGGGGCTAACTGACGACCAAAAAGAATTAAGGGAAATTACACTGGGGACATTTTTACATGTCTTGGGGGCACAGAATTGGACGGAAATTTATTGCTGCACGAAGTGGAGGTTAATTTTGGAGGCTAAGGTAACGATTACGATTGCAGGGAATTCAGAAAAATTGGTGGGATATTTCTGGGGAATGATTTATGTTCCGTTTCCAAATGACGATGTGGAGATGTATATTTTTTAAACTTCAAGTCTGTTTAAATTTGACTCCTGACAGCCCCTGGTCCTAATTTTTTTGTTTTGCAATCAAGTTTTACTGCTGCGGAATAATTATTTATTCTGGATGTTCAAAGAACGTTGTGTTCACTCAAATTCTACGTCCAGTGATAGATCTTGACCAAATATCATTCGTTTTTTTGTCATGTGTCAATGAAAGACAAAGTACTTCAATTTCTAAGAAGTTTTCAAGATTAAAATTTTTACTCGTCAATTTTTCATTGAAGAATGGAATAATAATGGATTTTGTCAAGAGTTATATCAGTTATAAACACGAATGATTCATTTTTAGTAATAAAAATCGATTCAATCGGATGAAGCGAGCTGAGATATTTTCAAAAATTGTAGGTTATCACCAAAGTTTGTTTGTTAAGAATGTTTAGCCAAAACCCCCATTATTCGCCACAATTTAGATATTGTCTCACATGCCAGGTTCATATTTGAGCCATACGTTAGTAATAATCTTAATCTTTCCATCGGCGCATCCTAGTGAGAAATTAATTTCTGACAATCACTTCTTGTAACATTACGCTTAGGGAAGAAACGTGACCGTGTGAACTTTGATCGAGATGTTGCATGTGTTAGACACTCAAGATATTAAAAAAAAACCACAAGCCATTTACTTTAGACTATGGAAAATCTATCGCCGGCGAGAACAAGTAGGGGGCCGGGCCATCTGGGCGTGATATCTTCGATTGATTTTCGAATTCCTCTAAAAAAAATTTTGACCGCCATTACGAGTCGAGAAACGCGACAACACTGCACAACAGCTGATCGAGGTCCACTGCAGTCACAAGTCCTCCATTATTTAAGAACAGTTTCGTTAATTACTGTTCTTGAGACCGGAAAAGCACGCCATAACATTTATAATTTGATGAGAAAAATAATTTGTAACATGAATGATTTATTTAGTCAATTTTATTTTTCTTTCCAACTGAGTCATCACCTTGATAGGTTAAAGATCCTTAGCCCCCTCAATCTTGAAATCATTTAATTATTAATCGACAGAATTATCATATCCAAGTTATCACGTCCTGCATAGTAAAAATATTTCAGAAATTTACAGTATTCAGCTAGAAACATGTGATATTAGACAAACGAAGTGGAGGGAAAAAAACCAAAACGACATTTCTTGACATAAAAAACAAGCAATAATAATTTCTGATAGCGAATGCAAATGGCAATTATGTCATTACCTCGGAGACGAACGATCCCAGGAGAAAAAGACTCCATAAACCTTTCTTGTAGCAGAAAAAAAATCTCCACAAAAACTTCCCTCAATAATTCCCCCCAAAATCCTTCATCCTAAAGATAATTCCATAATTATCAACAAGGAATAACTTCCTTATCCGGGTCGACTCACTACATTCACGTCACCCCGCAATTTATTAATTTATTCCTCAAGTCACAAAGGTATGAAAAAAAAAACACTAAAAATGTTTTTCAACTCTGCATTCTTCGAGCAGATAATGACACAACATTCCGTAATTTTTCTATAATTTTTCATGACTTTGAAATAATGCATATAAACACGCAAAAAAATTTTTTTTTCTACTGATAACCCATAAAAATTCATATTCAGCTAGGAATTTATCAAACTGCTACCAGTCGTGATTTGTGCCTGGCATTATAATGTAACAATTACGATTGTAACGGAGCAGAGCGCCTCTGAATCTCCAGTCCTTATTTGGATTTGGTATAGAGCCAGAGTACGAATACGAATGACGGATTTACGAATGGGTGTGAGAGAGCCTTCTACTGAGAATCAGCTGCCAACTGGCAACGGCGATGAAGAGTTAACGAGCGTATACCGAGATGGAAAAGGGAGTGAACTGACGAGTGGAGAAAAGAGGACATGTATAAAGCGTTAATATTATCGCCAGTACAGCATCTGTGGTCCCTGTGCTTCAGTTGAATTTTGTATTTCATCTTTTCAATTTTTTCCCCCCTCGACACTCCTCTTCCCCGTATTTTTTTTTCACAGTTCTTTTTCATTTATTATTTCTCCTTTTATTTCAGTAATAAGCAAACGGGTTATCGACAACTGGTTCAATTCTAGTGGAGACCTCGAACTCCGTCTCGTGGGATGTGGAAGAAAAAAAGAAGTAAATGAGTGAAATGAAGAAAAAAGAAGTTTGTTAAACGATAAAGACGGGAGGAGACGTAAGGAGAGGCGCGGCAGCATTTTTCTCCTTTATTAACTTGCTTAGTTTTTACCCCACCCCTGACGTCCCACTCGTGTAGCCACAGATGCAATGCCCGTGACGACACACGTCCCGAGAAGCTGATAAAACAATCACGGAAAGAGTACTCTCGAGTGTTGCTTCCATGGAAATTTAGGTTGCCAAGTAATGCAGAATTTTGGTTTGCAAGAGAGGGAGGTTGAGGGACTTTGCGAAAAGTGACTATCAAACGTGCACGGAGAGAAATAAAATTGAAAATTAGGGGAGACCGGGGCATAGTGGGGCACATAAAAAAAGGCAAAAATTGAGAAATTCAAGGGGTTGACGAGTAAAAAAAACTATCAACGATCAATAAAAAGTCAAAAAATGCTCAAAAAACTCAAATAATACTAAGGAAAAATTTCAAAAAAA